AATAAGTTGCAATAATTGAAGAACCAAATTTTGTAAACATATTTAAATCTAAAGATTAGAATAATTATATAAGTTCTTAATATAATTATTTATAGGAAATTAATAACAAAATTCATTTACTAAATACCTTGAGATATCTCATGTTTTAATAAGAGATAAAATGAATGCGATAATACAAGTATAATACACCCAAATATTATTATGAATGACGCGACTTTATCTATAGTATTCATAATCATAGCAAGATAAACTCCAAAAAATTTCATACAACGAAAAAAAAGAAGAAATTTTAATTCAAGAAATAAAATCGAAAATGTGATAGCCCAAGTTGAAACAAAGCCATTCTTTAGCCAATAAATAGAAGTTGCTATAGTATATATTATAGCGACAAGATCTGTTAAAAATAATAAATAAGTATATGTATGTATATTTTAATAGACATGTTAATTAAAAATTTACCTAGATAATTCCAAATTCTTGAAAAATATCCTAGAGGAAAATATATAAATGAACGAATTTCAAAAATTAGATGCCAGAATCCAAGAATAATGGTAATTATTAAGAAAATTTTTTGAGAATTATCATTAGATAAACTAGAAACAGTAATAAAACTGTAAAGAAAAACTGTATAAATTGCCCACATTACTAAATAATACTTTTTTCCATAAAATTTCCATTTAAACTCAAGTAATGCTCTCCCATTTAAATATTTATAAAATTCGTAATTTATCTTTTCAAGATGGTTTGAAGATATAAAACTATTGGGAATAGGTCGTATTAATTCTTTCCAATTATAATATTTTGAATAAGAAACAAAGTTTGGTATAGGAAATGCAAGCACTATTGTTGGATTCTGATTTATAGAATAAAATCTATTAACTAATAAAAGTAATGGAGATAATACAACAGATGGTACAGAAATTAATACCAAAAGTAAACTTTCAAAACAACTAAATAAAGCACGTAAACTATTTAAAAATTTACGAAAGCCATTTTGAAATTGAAAATATAGATTACTGTTCCAAAAATTAGAAGTTAATATATCAAGTGATGATGTCCTAGATAAATGATAGTATCTTCCAAAACTGGAAAGGTGTAGAGAATGTGATTTTTGATTTATTATAGTAGAAGGAACTACAAATGCTACCATAGAAAAAATACTTGCTATAAATGCAGGTTGGTTTTCTGATAATTCAACAATGTTTTCAAAAATAATACTCAGCAAAGAAATTTTAAAAATCAAATGATTATTATCATGCAAGCACTTATTAATACAGCTGTCGCCTACAGTTCTAATCCATTTGTCATCCTTTAATGAACTAAATGTCCGCATGAGAATATTTCCATAACAAGTTAAATAAAATTCTTCATTTATATTATCTTTTAAAAACTCTAAGAAAAGCGGAGTTCCGCCAAATTTAACATCTAAATTAAAATAAATTGTCTCATAACTTGAAGCAGGGAGAATTCTTTCTGAAGTCCAACTCTCAAAGAGATGCTTAACCATAAATTTATCGAAGTCACGGTCATGCTTAAATTTATCGAAGTCACGATCATGATTAAATTTATCGAAGTCACGGTCAAATGCGAATTTCTCTAAACAGTCATTAAAACCATTCCAATAATAGTGCATGCTAATGATTTTCGTCTTAGTAGCTTTAGAAAATTTAAAAGTCCAAATTATTACACCAATATGTGTAATCGTAAAGAAATCATCATTCTCAAGAACTTCACAGTGTAGTATAAATTTTTTTTCATCAGAATAAAAAGATGGAAGAATTTCAATTTTTCTTTTTTCACTATCATTCCAATCATTCTTGTGATAATCAAATTCAATCACTGTAATCATGACTGATTTATTGCTGAATTCTAATTCCCATTTTAAATAAACCCCTTGAAATACTTTGTTATAAGAAATATAAGTATCATTATAGTCTTTATTTAAACTATTCTTTATAATTTCAAATGTATTTTTAGATGGAGCTGTAATGCTGTTTGTATCATTTAGTTCTCTTCGTAAATATTTAATCCAATCATAAGAATTATCCTGCACCAAATCTTTGATTGATAATTTCCCATCAATTATATAAATTATTTTATCTGATCGAATTAAGTATGGTTCTTGAACTTGGTTATTTTCAAAGAGTTTACTTGCATCTATTGGATTTGTAAGATTGTAAGGATCCATTATGTTATATTTTTTATCAAGTGGATCGTCTAATACATAAAATAATCTTTCTCCTTTACTAGAAGCGATTAAGTGAAATCTATCTATTTCATATTGTGAATCAACTAAAAATAGAAAATAAAAATATTAAAAAATTATTTTATTGGCTATTATAATATAATAATATAAAAACTTACAGAATGCTAGGTTTATTCCAGTTTCGGTGGAAAAGACATATAAACGAGTTTCTTTAGTTGCCTCACTTTTTGCACATATTAATAATAACTCTTCATCATCGCTAATTTCAACAGATTCAAGTGTACAATTCCACTCTATTAAAGCATGAGTTTTGACTGATAACGTTTCAATGTCCCATACTCTGATTTCATAAATCGTATCATTAAATATAATCAATTTGCCTTTAAGTGTAATGTAAATTTGTTTAAAATATTTCAGTTCAACCATTGATTTACAAAACCAGTGAATATCATCTTTACTTGAAAAAATATATGCTCTGTAATATTTAGTATTAATCATAACTATGTTTCCATTATCAATAAAGGACAAGAAGTCAATTTCCTTTTGCCAATCCGGAAATGTCAGCATTACCTCATCTTCAGTTTTAAAATCGAAAATTTCTACATAGATACAATAAGTTAGTCTAATTTATTGAAATTTATTGAATAAACAAATAAGATTGAATTTATGCATAACTTACTAAAATTGTAGGGATTAATTCTTTCGAGACCAATTGAAGTAAACATGTTATCTGAAATTGCAAATAGTCTATCACCTTTTGCTTTTGTACAAATAGTATCAATATGAATTGTATTAACTTTCTTCGGAGATTGGTCTTCATTATCAATAGACCAAAAACTAATATTGCTATCTTCGTCTAATGCTGCAACATGTTTCATATTAGGCGAGCAAACAATTTCTGAAATTTTTTTTATTTCATTTGCAATTTCATCTTCAAATTGAATTCGTACATAAGAGCTATCAGATGTCATTTCTAATTATCTTTGATAATACGTTGTAATAAAATTTTCGACAAAATTTTTTAATATGTTATATTTTTTTTTTTTTAAAGGTATTTGAAATTTCTGAAGCCATAATTCAATAGTAAATATTTGTGGCAATGTTCTATTGACTTAGGCTTAACAAGTGTTATTAGCTTAAATATTAAGTATTCAAATATATCAATATATTGATGCTATCTATTGTGAGAGGGATACCAGGTCCCTCATAGCGAAAACGTGACATTAGACTCAGCAACTCAAAAGAGACGTGGAATATTTTGTCCGATAACCAAGGATCTTATTGCCACTAAAATCCTGGTCTTAAAGGTGGGTCTTTATTAACAACCGATTTCTTATCTGTCTTTTAACTAACATCTGAGGCTTTGACATAATTTAACTAAATTGAGTATCGGGAGGAGAAATTCATGCAAGCTACAATGATTTATTAATATGACTATGACCTTTGTTCCCACCAAGCCGCTATTCAATTGTTCTCAATGGACTTCGCCTCGAGCCAAACCAAAACAGCTGATCGGAGGTCTCGTAGCTTGGGGCTTAGCTTCTGATTTGGATCGCGGCTTCGGTTTGGTCATTATCACGTTTACTCACGTGCCTACAGCTAGATTACGTTTTTCTTCTCACAGCCAGGTCATTACATTATTCATAAAATTTTAAAAACGAATTTACTATCGCTATAATTGTTATATCTTGAAAAACCAAACAAATATTCAGTAATTGGTGCTCTTAAATAAAA